AATCTATCGCGCGCGCTCATTGGTCAGTCTGAATAAGACGGCACGTAGGGAGAATTTACTTAGACTTTGCTTTTTTTCGATCTTTTCGCGCGTTTGTTATTTTATAAAACAAATCAAAAACAGTTTACTGTGTTTGATACTCTGATCAAAACACTTGGGATGTTGGGAGAACACTCGAGAAGCTGGAAACCACTCCGCTACGCGTCGTGGTTTCCTACGCTCCTCTCGTGTTCTCCCAACATCCCGCGTGTTTTGATCAGAGTATCAAACACGGAAAACTGTTTTTGATCTGTTAAATCTATACCTGCTTACTTTATGCATAATTAATCTTTTTTTGTTTGTAAAATTATGCACAGAWCAGAGAGCTCATACAACCAACACTAGCAGCTCATCCAGTAGCTCATCCAGTGGCCTTGGTGGATTCTGGTCAGGTATTAAGTTAAGATGGTTTTAAAAATTTAAGAACCTTGATTATTAGGAGAATGCTCTGAGTTCCAGATAAATCTATCAATAAATATGATATTGGTCTCAACGTGGGATGTAATCTCGTAATTATGRTTTAGCTTAATCGTTCCAWAAAACTCAGGGGCTRAWCCAGGAATTTTAGAAAGGGGTGACTATTACAAAGGTTTTACCAGGAATTCAAGGAAAACCTGGGGGTGACTGTTACTAACCAWATACCGAGAAATTTGAGCAAAAGGGGGGTGAATTGTCACCSMTTTCCTGCCCCTGAAATTTACTGAGTGGGTGATTCAGACCGAAGCGAAAAATAATCCTGATTTAGATCAATGTTCAGTGGAGATATTTGCATAAACCTACCTCTAAGAAATTAATAATGTATAATTTGATCATTGTTTTAGGATTTGGTACAGGGGGCCTAGCTGGATATCTTTTTGGATCTTCAAGGTAATAATAAATTATTAACAATTAAATCTTATGCTATAATTCAATGCACAGTCTTATTTCCTCCTTTGTAATAGTCATAGTCATAAAAAATTATTAACAATTAAATCTTATGCTATAATTCAATGCGCAGTCTTATTTCCTCCTTTGTGATAGTCATAG